CTAACATTCTGCGGTGAGTTACGGCGTGTTGCAAGTTTTGTGAGGTGCTTTCGTGATATTTAATGGATCGGATTACATTTTTTATTTTTCTCCGATATCCGATCCAGTCATTTAGGTCAGTATCGGACCGATACCGATATGTAATATCGGATCGGTCCATCTCTAGTCCGTACAAAGACAGACTCGACGAAAAGGCAAAGAAAAGGTACAAGGAAAAAAAAAAAAAAATCAAAGGAGTGAAAGGGTCAGACCCTTATGAGCAGACAGAATGAACAAAAGACGTTAGCGTGCTGCCCAACTTTCACCAGAATTGGGTGCCACCCCTGATGCGCTTGTAAAATGTGAATGTTGTGGTAAAGGATGTGTGGAAATTAAGTGCCCGTATAAACACCGCAACAACAACCTCCTGCAGGCCTGTGAAGATGACAGGAACAGCCGCACCAGTGGATCCAGTGTGATGCCACTAATAGACATGGAATTCATACCCGAATTCATTCTGAATTAAGAGGTCACACCACATATTTTCGACAGACAGTCAGTAATGACTACACATACTTTATGATTGTTTTGGTTTTTTTCTGTAGTTGGGTGGCGCTGTCATTTGGTGTTCGCTCTCTCTGCAGTTGAGTGTCACTTCCTGTTTCTTGTTCCAACACACAGTGGTGTTTCTGTGTAGCTTATCTGCATAGCAATTTAATGAAAAAGTTGTACATATCTTCTTATGTCATAGTGTAATCTTCACTTGCACACTCTGTGTACTCACACGCTAATTTATAACCAAAGTATTAACTCACCATGTCTTTACTGTCTCACTAGCTTAGCTAATCTCGTAGCCGACTCGCTAGCCGTATGGCCTCTTCCCCTGTCCCCCGGTGTTTGCTTGGGGCGGTGGCGTGCGAGGCTGTGTAGCTGTCGCGCTAGCTTCCGCTTCTTCATCAGACATCTTATTGTTGTAGAGCAACTCAAACTGGTACTTTCAAAATCCCCGCTAGTGACGCGCGAATCATGAACGAATCGTTCAATACTCGAGAATCACTTTACTGACTCATGATTCACAAGCCCAACTGACTCACTGACTCATCCCTGTTGCTGTTAGCAGCAATGATCTAGCTTATAATTAAAATTGTGGAGAAAAACACAACACCCAGTATCGTAACAAAAAAAAATTTCTGCTCTGAACTGGAAGAAAAAACCCTGAGTAGAAGCTCACATCAAGAAAATAGCTCCTCGGTTCACAGTAGCATCGCTCTGCTAACATGCTAACAGCACATTTGAGCTACTCAGCCCTCCCTCCTGTGCTGAATCATAGAGCGAACGAATCACTCAGGACTCACTAACCCCCTCCCTCCTGTGCTGATTCGTAAGCGTGTGCGAATCACTCAGGACTCGCTCACCCCCTCCCTCCTGTGCTGAATCATAGAACGAACGAATCACTCACTCACCCCCTCCCTCCTGGCTCACAGCTTCTTCTTCTTCTTCTTGGTTGGCAACCAATGTTAAGGCGCATTACCGCCCCCTGGCTCACAGCTCAGTGGACATTTAGATGAGAAAATGTATATTTAACACATTTAAGGAAAATACTAATAAAATAAATAAATAAAAATATATCCATCCATCCATCCATTCGCTTCCGCTTATCCTTTTCAGGGTCGCGGGGGGCGCTGGAGCCTATCCCAGCTGTCATAGGGCGAAAGGCGGGGTACACCCTGGACAGGTCGCCAGTCTGTCGCAGGGCTAACACATAGGGACAGACAACCATTCACACTCACATTCACACCTAGTGACAATTTGGATTAATCAAAACTTCTGGAACCAGCTCCTTCATTTATTCGAGAGCGGAGCTGCTGGCACTAAAAACAAAGGGACAGACCGGCATGCGACACAACATCCCGGCCGAGCTAAAGAGGAGCTACAGAGGCTGCAAAGCTGGAGCGAGGAGAGCGGATCACCGGAGGCGATTCAAACCATCAATCCCGACAGTGATCATGGGCAACGTGAACTCGTTACAGAATAAGATTGATGAACTGTGCGCTCTGAACAACCACAGACTATACCGTGAGTGCAGCTTGTTTATCTTCACGGAGACGTGGCTAACCGAGCTAACGCCGCAGGCTAACGTAGACCTATGCGGTTTCACATCCGTGAGAGCCGATAGGGACACGCAGGCCAGCGGAAAAAGCAGAGGTGGGGGACTCATTGTCTACGTTAACAACAGATACTGTAACCCTGGACACGTCTCCGTTAAAGTTTCGGTATGCCGTCCGGACCTGGAGCTGCTAGCTGTTAGCTTGCGGCCATATTATCTACCTCGGGAGTTCAGTCATGTGATCTGTGTGTGTGTTTACATCCCTCCGAGGGCCGACGCAACAGCTGCCTGTGAGAAAATACACACAGTCACAGCAAGACTTCAGACACAAAACCCCGAGGCTTTCATTATTATATCTGGAGACTTTAACCATGCCACACTGGACTCTACTCTGGCTGCTTTTCACCAGTTTGTGAATTGTCCCACAAGGAGCAACAGGACAATTGACCTACTGTATGCTAATGTGAGAGATGCATACAGAGCCACCCCCTCCCCCCACTAGGGAAGTCAGACCACAACCTGGTTTACCTACAGCCACAATACACACCCCTCGTCCAAAGGCAGCCTGTCACAACGCGCTCCATCCGGAGATGGACCCCAGAAAAGGAGGATGCTCTGAGAGACTGCTATGACACCACAGACTGGGATGTGCTCCTGAGCCCACATGGTGAGGACATAGAGGGGGCGACACACTGTCTTACAGACTACCTCAACTTTTGTGTGGACACGGTCGCCCCTGCTAAGACGGTACGGTGTTATCCTAATAACAAACCGTGGGTAACACAGGAAGTCAAAGCTGTCCTCAACATGAAGAAGAAGGCTTTCAGGAGCAAAGTGAAGGAGGAGATGAAAGCAGCACAGCGGGAGGTGAAACGCTGCCTGAGGGAAGCAAAGGACACCTACAGGAGGAAGGTGGAGCAGAAGTTGGAGAGGAACAATATGAGGGAGGTCTGGAATGGTGTGAAAACCATCACAGGCCACAACACCAAGAAAAGCACAGTGGGGGGGACTGTGGAGAAGGCAAACGAACTCAACAACTTCTTCAACAGGTTTGACCAGCCCACAACCCCCCCACCCTCACCCTCACCTTCACTACAGAGTCCTCTCCCCACTCTCCTACCTCCCTCGCTTCCCCCCCTTCCTGACACCATGACACCCCCCTCCTCCAATCCCTCTCTCAGCAGCAAGACATCTCCCCCCCTCCCCTCCTCCCAAACATCTCCCAGTGTCACAGTGGATCAGGTCAGGAGACAACTGAGGAAGCTTCGCCCCAGAAAGGCAGCAGGCCCAGACAAGGTGTGTCCTAGGATGCTAAAGGCGTGTGCTGCTGAACTTGGGGAGCCGCTACAACGAGTCTTCAACCTCAGTCTGCGACTGGGGAGAGTGCCCGCCCTATGGAAGACATCCTGCATCGTCCCGGTCCCCAAAAGGAACCGGCCCAATGAGCTGAATGACTTCCGACCGGTGGCACTGACGTCACATCTTATGAAGACTCTAGAGCGGCTCTTCCTCAACCTCCTCCGACCACAGGTACAACATGCCCAGGACCCACTACAGTTTGCATACAAGGCGGGTGTCGGAGTGGAGGATGCCATCCTGTACCTCCTACACAGAGCCCACTCACACCTGGATGGGGGAAAAGGCACGGTCAGGATCCTGTGTCTTGACTTTTCCAGTGCCTTTAATAATCTAATCCCCACGAACTATTTCTCTCTTTAGCTGCCGCTTCACCCGACGTTCACTTCGTGTTAAACCTTTCACAATAAAACTTATTACGCCACACGACTAGCTATACTAATGTAACCAGTTAACATTCTCAATAAGCTAACTAGCCAGACTAATCATTTTGATATATTGAAGTTGCCTGTCAGGATATCCTTATGCTTTGCTTATGATATCCTGTCAGGATTTCATAAGCCCATAACTTCACGCCACATGGCTCCACCTTGTGGAATAACAGGATCATTACAATTAATAGGAAGTCATTATTCATTAAAGAGTCGAATGGAAAAAAAACAAAAAAAACCCATCATCTTTATAACAGATTTACTTTACTTTACTGTCCAGTTTAATATTCAGTGTTCCCGTAGAGAATATAACAAAGTTTTTAATGCAATCCCTTTATCTCTGTGGAGTTTGATACAAAATCATTTAAATCACTCTAAAGGACAAACCAGTTTACCCTCTTTACAGTTAAATAATAACATTTAAAATAATCAATGGATATTACCCAGCAGCAGAAAGGCTTAAAGAAAGGTTTGGGTTTGAGGTGGACCCATTTTGTTTACAAGAAGAAGAAAGTATTGACCAGGTGTTTTTTTCCTGTTCAGTAATGACTAGCTTCCTGCAGGATTTGGTAAACTGGATGAGCGTAAGAATAGTTGGGATGACCCCACTGACTCTAAGGAACTTGTCATGCTTTACAATGTTCTAATAATTATGGGCAAATAGTACATCCATAAGGGTAAATGGCTTGAGGAACCATCTTTTTCCTCATCTTTAGAACTACTGAATGCTTCATGTAAAGATGCTGCTTTGTTATGTGAAAATGTGACCCAGTTTCTATCCTTTTATGAACGTGTTTTGTTTTTTTGTACCAAGCAAGCCTCATGTTAAAGTGTTGCCAGAAAAGAAAATGAAAAAAGGCATTAGAATGGCCTTCACATATTTATATTGTAAATGGGTTTTTTCTCCAGATGTTATTGCACCAATGTTATCTCCCATTGAGAGTCTTTACATTTGTGCAAAGACTACATTTAAAAAATAAATAACAAAAAATAAATAAAAAACAAATAAAAAACTAGCCAGACTAACCTGGCTTCGTGCTAGCTTCCATCTATCCATACAGACAATTTCTTTAACTTATCCAATCCCAGCTACCACAGGGCGTTCCTGTTGATCAGTCTTCCACTCCTCATTTTACTCACTCAATCGCTGTTTTCATTCAGATACTACTCTTGCTGTCCTGGAGAAACTCTTAGGAATCTTAAATACTTTCACTTAGGAGAGTAGGTGTAACAGGTCATCCTTGTGCTCATTCCAAACGTGTTCCTATCCAACAAAGGCTTTATTTTAAATTACTTGATCTCAACAAGTAAGAAAATTTGTCTCCTCAACATAGACACGGGTCAGAAATTGTAATTTCAGTCTTTTTTTCCAGAGAAATGCTCCTTCACCTATAGATGTTTTGAGCTCCATCAAAATAGTGACTTTTAGGCAATCTCATGTTATCTTCCTGTGTTGTCTCTTGCCACCTGTAGGGGCGCTACTTTTGGAAACACTCATGTTTAAGAACAAGAAGGAACCTTTGCTTGTTATTAGTCTCCACCAGATGGCGCTGATAGAACGTCATCAGTTGTGGTTAATACAGAAATAAATTAAATCGTGAACAAATATATAAACAAATAAAACAATAAAACTTGTCACAAAGTAGGTTAAGCTTCAAGTGTTTTAGCCGACTAAAAAAAAAAGCAAAGTAAACTTTTACAAATTTATCAGTTGCTTCTCAACATGTCAGCAGGTCTGTGTTCAGGACTGAAAAGTGAATAAATAACGATTTTTTAATTAACTACCCATCATCTCAATTAAATAAAATAAGTTTTTCTCTTAAATAAACCTGCATAGGGGATATAAGCTGTTACTGTTTATTTGCTATGCTTACAGCTGCACTGACAACAGTCTAAATGTTCTACTTTACTTGGTAAGTCAAGTAATTTCTAACATTGAATGATTTACTTAAAATAAATGTCAGAGTGGAAATAAAATATTGGAAACATTGTCTCCACCTTGTGAGTAAAGTACATTTCAGTCCTGCTCCATCTAAACGCTTTTAAAGAACCAATTATTATAAAGTTGGACCCTCATCAGACATCTCTGCAGCTTTGTTCATAAAAACTGTGGAAATATTTCTGTAGGATATACAGTATAGTTTTATTTTTACCGTTAAACAGCATAAGTTACAGTGTATAAACACACAGATCAGGTGTGACACTGCAAAGCTGATCAAAGGTTATGTTTGATTGCTGCCTGGTTATGTTACACACTGAGGAGCAGACCAGTGAGAATCAGTGACTCCATCATAATGAACTGCTTTTCTCTAATATGCAGTTTAATAGAGCTGAGGCTAAATGTCAATGTTGGTCTGAAAATGGAAGCAAATATTTAAAATGCAAAATAAATTCATGCTTAAAAATCTGGTTATAATTGTTTCAGGAAAACAGCTTCAGCACAACAAGAGTGTTCACAAACCAACAGAAGCAAATCAACTCATTTACTTCACTTCAGAGACAGACTGTGATACTCAAACAAATTCAAAGGTAGAATCTGTTTTGATTTGCTGAAACACTGAGAACGAAATCTAAATAAACTAAAACCTGATTATGAAACATCAGAAGATCCAGAAACCGTTCAAAATATAAGATCCAGCAGCAGCAGCTGATTAAAGTTAAAGATGACAAAGGAACATTTTTAATCCAATCAGGTGTAGCTACACTGATATGTGACTGAAATGAATATGCTGCTTTTTCTGTTTCAACAGGTTTAACCCGCTGATGTGATTCAGTTTCAGAACTTTAGAGTTAATTTCTTTGAACCGACATGTTACTATAAAATGTGGTTTGACTTAAAACGCTGATAATCAGGATATCTGACATGTTTTCTTTGTAAAGTCGGGGATTGTTGATGTGATACAAGTTCACAAGCAGCCGGTGTGTTTGAGGCACGGACCAAAAAAAATCAGCCACGCGAGAAACAAACTACAGTTTAAAAAGCGAGTCGTTTATTTAGGCTGATGAAAAACAGAAAAGCAAAGAGAGTCGAAAGAAGTTGAAAGTAAACTGGGAAACAACAAGAGAGTAGAAGATGAAACTATGAAGTAAACCAAACAAGGATCTGAACAGTAAGAGCAAAAACTCTGTGATGTGGAAACAAACAGACGTAAGAGACAGAGGGCTTAAACACACAAGAGGGTAACGAGGGAAGTGGAAACACCTGGGGAGACACAGCTGACACAAATGAACATGATGGTGCCACAGGGCAAAAGTAAAACTAAGCTCACTGAACATAGAAACACAAGACTTTCACAATAAAACAGGAAACATGGGGAGACGTAGACGTGACAAGCTTGACAACATGAAACACGCAGAGACAGGAAACACATGACAGATTGACACAGAAGACAAGAAACGACGTTTAAACCAGGAATCATACAAGAAACAAAACTAGAATGAAACTCAACTAAATCCAAAATAATAATAGCAACTGTTAGATTATTCTGTTATTATATGTTACCTTATATATGTAATCAAAAGTAGTTGAATTAGAATACTGCTGTAGATCATATTATACCCTTTAATATAGAGTGTGTGATCTGTATGTAGTTTAGTTCTCGTTATACTTTTGAGTTAACAGAACATATTCACATATTAGTTTATTAGATAAGTGTGCATCACTCTGTATCCTTGATCTGCTGTGAATGTATTACATGCTTAATTGTTGAATCAT